TTGTGGAGCTTGTTGTTGTGATTACTGCTGCTACTATGGCGAACCTAGGCCAGGACCCTTGCCTCGACCTCGGCCGCCACCCTGACCGGCTGGTGCCGCCTGTTACTGTTGTGGGGCCGTCGAACTTGTAGTGTTGCCGGAGACAAAAGATGATGCTTGTAATGATGAGTCATTGGCTTGCCTTGACTCCTCAAGTAACAATCGTGACCTCGCTATTTCGAATGAAGGCAACGGGGTAGTTTGTTGTATCATTGCAGCAACAGCATCAAAATCTGTTCACTAGCCCCGAAACTAGTCGAATTACGAGTTTTTGCTCCGACACGGGTTGATCAACATTAGCTAGTTGATCCTTCAAGTTCTTTAATTCTCGACAATAAGAAGAGATGTCAGAGAATTTTGACAGGTGCAATTAATTAAATTGGTTTTCCAGATAAACCGTCCTAGTAGTTTTATTATCTTGAAAAATTTCCTTAGGTTTATTCCAAACTTGTTGTGATGTATCCCCTTTGCACAAAATTGTTTCTAGCAAATCAGTAGAAATAGTACCATAAATCCAATTCTTGACAACGGAATCAAGCCTTTTCCACTTAGCGTCGGATAGGTCTGCAGGACATGTTGTTTTTGGGTCACTATGATCACGAACATCAAAGGCATGAGCATGACACTCAAATAATTCAACCCAATTGGAATATTGAACTTTTTCACGATCAAGAATTAGAGGAATTGCATTCTTAATGTTACTAACACCAAGAGCCGGATGAAAGACTGACGATTCACCTTCCTCGACCATGGTGATTGGCGGCAAAGGTGTTAGGGACGGCTAAGGGTAAACGGCTAAGGTAAAAGAAAAAAATATCGGTAAAGGAAAAAATTACGGAAGCTAGGATTGGATCTTAAACCTAAGCTGTGAGCCTGTGATACCATGTTAGATAATATGAAACTCCTTGGATTAGAGTGTTTCCATTGATGCATATATATAGGGTTACAAAGGTGAGTCCTAATCACGTTAGGAAAACTCGAAAGATATTTACAGAATATTCACCAAATTATATCCTTCGTTATAGAATAATATCTAGAATATTAATCATATTCTATCACAAATTTCACCCAAAATAATCTGATTTTACAAATATTACCATATACCAAGTATACAACTAGTTGGTATGATACAGGAGCCAAAGAGTGTGGATATCGATATTGATATCAACAAGGATTGCATAAGATATTGGCGACTAAGGAAGAAAATTATAGAGGATATAGTCTAATTACAAAGATTCTGGTTGGCTTTGTTATTAACAAGCAAATAAATCAATAAATAAATCAAGATTATGCTTAATTAATCATAGTATATACCAAGGTAAAGTCCTAAAGTATAGGTCATCAAAAGCCTAACACTACCAACCACTACTTTACTTACCATCATTCCGAAAATTCTAGAAAGACAAAAGATGCCCTTAATTCTGGATTTAACATTTAGTGCAAAAAACAGTGCAATAAAAGTGGCCCCATTTACAAAATAAAGTACCCATTTGTAAAAGTAGGCAATTCGGCATCATGCTCCTTATCTTAAGCATTTTTCAAAGTTGACACCTTAAAAAAAAAAAAAAAAAAAACTAAATTATAATAAAATTAAAAATAAAAAACAGTTAAAATGAGGACAAAAAAATGCGACCGACTAAAACTAAAATAACAAACTAAAATTTGGAAAAAGCATCTTAGGTTGATTGTTTATGCAAGAAAAACTTGGCCTTGCCTTGCCTTAAACGAACTTCTTTTTTTAAGCAACCCAAAAACCAATCTTTTTCATATCTTTGAAGATGGTCCAAAGAAAGGTGGGAAATAATAAATTTGGTATCCAACCTTATAATAACATCATTAAAACAGAGAAAATACAGGTTTACACAAAACCCTCTCTTCAAAACCACCATGATGCTAATATGAGTAAAGGGGCTGATATGAATGGAATAAAGATGAAGAAATCTCGGTCGATCGAGGTTGGATTCCGATCCTCGAAAAGCAACCACGATGTGTTTCGTCGTCCTGGAAAACAACCCTCTCTTGGGTCATCAACCTCCAAAACACAATCATCAAGTAAGTCTTCTGATACTTCTCCAAATTATATGAAGAGTACACGTAGTTATGAGGCAAGAAAGGAGGAAAAACTGCAGAAGGTAGCAAAAACATTGAGCAGAACATCTAGTTATAAAATAGTAAGGACTTTATCAAAGGTCCCCTGCTTTAAGCACTGTGCAAGAACAACAACCTGTTCATCAACCCTGAAAGACTCAAAGTTTCCTCGTTACCTTAAACTCAAGCCAGGGGCTACTGAAGCTGAAGGAAGATCAGTACCAAGAGTCTGCTCATATAACCATTGTTCCCTCAATGGTGATCACCATAAACCTGCGCCTCCTCTGAAGCGTTTCATGTCTACAAGACGGAGGCTGCTGAAGACTCAGAAGGTTGATACACCGAAGGTTCTTTCCCCTCGTAAAGCTAAGCTTTCTGAGTGTAAGGGGAAAGGAGTACGGGAGCAAAAGGAGGATTTCTTTGTCGAAATTTATGTCTCAGACAGAGGGGTTGATACGCCAGTGTCTCAGAGTTTATCAGATGGACCATGTTCTGAGATTGATCAAAGTGAAGAACCTAATTTTTCAAACTTGAATTTCTGTCCTAAAGATGAAGATTATCCACCGATAACTGTTCAGAGTTACCAAGAGATTGAGAGCTCTCCCAGTGTCAGTTTGGATGAGTTTAGCTGTGGAAACTCTGACATAGAGTGGGAACAGGAGCAAACTTGTGCCAATGACAACTGTGAAATTTACGCTCAGAGCGATTGCAGTTATGATGACAATAAATCTGATTTTGAGACAGGCAGTTGCCATGGCGGGTACTTGGAGACATGTCATGAATACCCACCGTATTTTCATGATGAAATTGTGGAGTACCTATGTTTCAGTGATGCTGATTCTTTACCAGATAGCAAGTCTGCCAAGACAGGTACTCTCTCTGTTTGATCATAATGGTTTAATCTTGACATATAAGTTCACAGTTTGTTACAATACTAGTTTTATTTGGAGCATGAAAATAATAGTAAGATTTATCTTATAAAATTTGAGATTAATGCCAAGTTCTTTGGAGTATAGGGTTACATTGCATTCTTATGAAAGTAAGCTTTCTAAGATCATAAAAGTGTATTTTAGACAATCAATCAGAATGAAGGAGTAATTTTTAGCCCGCACTTTAGATAATGTCAAGTTCTGTTCATTTAGTGAAATTGATGTGGGTTGATAGTTGCAGCAGCTTGACTTATTGACATTTGATTCAGGTGAAAGGAACATAGAAGAGCCACTTATGGTCGAAGAAAAGGATGAAATGAATTCTGGAGCAAACAATGAGGTAGCTGTGGAGGATTCTACCTTGGCAGATGAAGCAACTGAACTTATCAAAGAGGTAGCTGAGTCCACTAATACAAAAGGCGAAATTATCACTGACCTCATCAAAGAAATTACAGAGGCTCAAAACGAAGGGCTTGCTTTATACCAGGAACCAGTTGAAACAGAGGGTGACCAATGTGAAAAATCAGTTGAAGACTACACTATTGAAGATTTCAGAGAAGAAAATGCTGCTGACTCTGTCATGGAAGAAAGAGAGCCAATTGAAGAAATTACAGACATGCCACAAATAACCGAAAAATTAGAAACCACTGATGCAAAGGAGGGAATTAGCACGGCCAATAATGATGATCAAGACGGTACAGATCACAGTGGTAATGTTGCAGCCCTTGCAGGAAAGAAAGCGAATGAAGCCACAGCTGAGAATTGTTTCAGTACAAGATCAGAAAAAAATGAAGATGAAAATGATTCAAGTGAGCTTGAATCAAATGAGAATGATGTTGAACGAGATAAAGCATCAGGAACGGAAAACAGTAACAGGATAGAAGCAACCAGCAAATGCATTTCCAACAACAGAGAATCTGATGGCAACCAGGAGCTCGACAGCTGTAACAAATTAAAGAGAGGGATGAGATCCATGAAAGGAGATGAAGATGATGAAGAGAGACAATTCAATCCAAGAGGGCCAAATTTTCTTGATGTTGAACCTGATCCAGAAGCAGAGAAAGTGGATCTGAGACACCAAGAGATGGATGACAGGAGAAATGCAGAGGAGTGGATGCTTGATCATGCACTACAGAAGACAGTCAACCAACTCACTCCTGCTCGAAAGAGGAAGGTCGCATTACTAGTTGAAGCCTATGAAACTGTACTACCAGTAGCAAAGGATGAGTCCACGAGGAAAAATTCATCGGAATCTGACCATGAAAGGCCAATTCAAGCATGCAGCTAAATCCATCCTTATTGACATTCCTCCAGCTAGTTTATGATGTGTAAATTCTACCATCCACTAATTTAACCTCCATATAGATTAGTAAGCAGGTGATCTGCTGCTCAGCTGTCTGGCAAAAGGCCAACCAGAATATTAAGCAGTATAACTTTTCATGTACTGTTATGATTTACCTGACAACTTAAATGAAATAAACGCAAGTTTCCTGTAGAAAAGTATAATTGTAATGGGGTTTGTGTGAAAGATGTGTTGCATTTCTGTGATTTCTAATCCTTCCTTCTAGGCATCTCATGTACTCGTTCTCTCTCTGTTTATTGTTCATTGTTCTGATTCTATAGATAATGCATACTGGCACTTAGTAGTCTGATTACAATGGAACTGCAGAAACCACTCGACTACAGTGCCGATATTCAATATAAAAACAGTCAACTGTTCCATCTCGACTTGATTTGATATAGATTTCTAAAATAACTCCTCAACAAGCTACTTAAAGAATTAGTTGGTCAGACCAACCACCCCCACAACCCCCAAAATATAGTTGTTACTTGTCCTATCTTTCTTAATTAAGGACATTGACATTATTTCAGGAAAATAAAAGCCTTTGTATACAATAATTCAGTCATTTACTCATTCCTAATCAAGCAATCAATGCATGTATATGCATCTCAAGAAATATATTCATAAACAATTACTATTTCAAATAAATTTGACATTTTACAGAAGATTAAATGAGGAAATGTAGCAGCACACTGGCACCATGAAAACAATTTGTGGAAGGCTTTTCTATTGTCATATATTAGAAATAATATGGAAAATTCATTCCCTTCTATTAATATGGACATTTCCACTACAACAAAAAATGCTGACAAAATTGCGTCCTTAAAAACCAGTACAAGGTATAATGCAGCTACAACTCTACAACCTTAAGACCTCTGAGTTTATTTAATTCCAATTGCAAATCAACCATGGGGGATTCTCTTAACAGTAAGTCCAGCTTCTCAAAGTAACTCTCCAGGTCACTCTGTTGGGAAACAGTTGGATGGGAGATTGAGGATTCAGACTCAGCAATATTCCTTCTTTCTGCTGATTTTCCTTGCTGGATATAATCATGAAAGAGCTTCAATGCATCTTGTGTTCCAATAGAATCCACAGCCACAAACAAGTTTTGAAACTCTTTTCCCTTATCTTCAGTTTCAAGAAGTTTCAGCTTCAGCTCATTCGGGATATGAGCTAAGGCACTACAACAAGGTTGCAGAATAAAGAAAGGAACTAAAAAGAATTCTAATTACCAGAAAAAAATACTTCATTGCTTAACATTGTCTTTTCAGGTTAAGCCCACATTGTAACGAGTTGTTAGTCATTGGATTGGCATTAATGGTTTCTTGAACTGAAGAACATTCTTGTGACAGATAATATGGAATATGACAATTCAAGTGGACAGAGAATCAGGAAAGATAGCTTTTAAGATATTTAAGGGACCAAATGACTCATAAAAACCATCACCAAAAATAGAAAGGTACCATAAAACTCATAGTTACCTAGATGCTCTTTACCTGGTAACACCCCTAACAATGCCCCACTTGTTACCAATCATCACGGAATCCTTGAAACCCTGATTAAAACCCTCTTGTGCAGCAACATTTTTCCCAGCTGATAAACCATCCCGATATCCAGCCTAGCAAATCATTAGAAAGAACTTCACTCAGCTAGATACAAGTGGTGTAGAGAGAAATAGAGGAAAACAAGACAAATCAAGATATTAAAAAATAAATTCAACAAATTTAACAAATCAACTCTTACGTTGTAGAATTCCTCACGTCTCCTTTTCCCTTCTCTATCCAAATAAAAAGCTTCATCTGTTTCCTCATCACAGTCAGTCAACCAAACTCCATCATCTGATAAGCAACCTCCATGAGATTCTGAAATTCGCAAGCAAAACATCAATCATCCTTAGCTCTTAGATTCCAACTAGATCAATTCAAGAAAAACGCCAGTCAATAACAACACCACATTAACAATTTACAAGTCTCTTTATGCACAATTGCCTATCTGATTTGAACATTTTGGTTCAGCTTTTTACAGACTTTTGCCCACGCAAATCTTGAATTTCAAAGAACAAAAGAGACTAGTTCCTTATTATTAGCATGAATCCGTTACAAAGGTATAAAGATCCACACATTGCTCAATGCAAGGAAACAACTATTTATAATACACCTTAGCTTGCATAAACCATCTTTACCTATACCTCAACTCATAACTCTCTCTAAGAGCCTACTTCAGTAAAGCTGAAGGAAACAATCTAGTCTCACCCCTGAAACTATCATCCTCCATGGAAAATGAATCTCTTGCCCACTAATTATAGACTAAATTGTTTGCAACACAATAGAAGAATGGGAGTCTTGAACAATGTTATATAGCCGAGAATCTACCTCATCTTGGACTATCATGTTTTGAATCAGAAGTAAGAAAGATCCATCAAGTTCATTAAGTGAGCAAACCCATGCGATTACCAATTTCTCATACACTTATCTAAGAACAGACGACACAAAATCTAAACAACTTTGGTTAATTTTACACTTTGCACACCCATAGTTTCCTTAATAAGAAAATGAAACACCTCAGTATATGTAGGATTATCAGAACTCCACTTACTATCAGTGGCCAATAATTCACCAGCTTCAGCATCATCTGAAACAGGCGTGTCTACCAAAGATGATGCCGTAACAGCTACTCCCTGATCCTCCTCCATGTCAGCTATTCAATTCATACATAGAAAGATGAATCAAAATTTAAGGAAATATAAAGGATGCAAAAGAGACTGATGTTCAAACTAATTTATCAATAGCAGTGACATTTAAAAGTTCATATGTAAATAGCAATCGAGCAATTGATTGCAGCGATTGTTATATACACTCAAGTGCAATGTGCATCAATGGGTATTCTTTCTGCTCAATTTGACGATAATGGCTCATTAATCATCAAATGAGCGAAATAAATAACCTTGAGTGCACCTTGCACCCGGTGTATGTAACAAATTTCACATTTATAACCTTGAATCATTTAAGAGTAGTCCTCTGGTGTTCTATATCAGTTCTACAAAATTCCTCAATCCCGTTCAAGAACTCGGGTTGAGTTCGATTTTCAACATACATCCAATCACGATTCATTTCTAACTACAAATTATAGAAAAAGCAAGCATATAATTATTAGAACATGGGAATATAATTGTATTCAGTTTATGAAAACTACTTGGTGAATTGAGATTAGTAAAATAATTTTTACCAGAACCAAATAAGCGATATACTAGAAGATAAGAAATCTGCAACAAAACAAATGAACACCAAAAAAGCAAAGCAAACATTTTGTTTATACTATGATCTCTTCATCTTGTAAGTCAACCAAAATCCACCATATTTTTTATTTTAACAAAAAGCAGCAGACAATGGTAAGTGTTAGGAGAAGATCGAAATGAAGCTCAAATTATTTTTGGGGAAATTATATACCAATTGTCAAAAGCACAGCCTAGTGCACCTATATTTTGGAACTTGCATACTCAACAAGTTTATGTTATAAACTAGCAAAGCTGGACCAGAAATTTTAGGAAGAAGAAAATTCTTAATTTATACTCTGGAATTACAAACAATGAAAATACATTAAGCTTAAGGGTTCATTCTCTTCTCAGATAACTAAATAATTCACCCAACAATATTCTTCATTCTTTTCCCCTCCAAATTTCTTTCTAATGTTTCTAGAACTAAAAATTTCTTTGCTTTCTCTCTAATTACCAGGCACATTATAATTTATTTAGAACTGCATTCTAGATTTCTAGCTATAATTAGAGAAGGTCTGTTTCGTAGAAAAATTCTCTGCTATAAACAGCTACATTCCTGCCTCACATATTTATAGAGAAATTCTCTGCGATAAACAGTTGGATTCCTGCCTTACAGAGAAATTCTACGAACAAAACAAAATAAGAAAGCTAGACATCTCTTAAACACTAATATTCTAGCACACATTTACACACGCTTCAAGGAGAAAAACAGCAGAGAATCTATGTCTGACGTACTCAGTTAGTGTACCCCAATTAGAACCTTTATCTATTAAACCTTAATCAAAATAAATGTTCACACCAGCAGTCATAAATCCTTGAAACTGAATTCAGATCAAATAAAGACAATAACATATGAAATAGCAGACCTAGCATCAAATAGAATTCTAGAGTATATCATATTCATACATAATCTTAGGGTATTCGACTTTAATACAAAGGAATTCCATTAGCAAAATTAAGCGAATGTAAACCTAAAATCGGCAGCACACAATAACACCACAAAGTCAACCACATCTCCTAATTAAATCGAAATTAATCAACCACCACAAGATCGACCACATCTCCTAATTAAATTGAAATTAATCAGCCACAACAACACCACAAGGTCGAGCACAACCGTTTTAATTAAATCGAAATTCTTCATGAAACCTAATTTTCTTGGTTTTTAATCATCCAATTTGATTTGAAATTAATCAGCACAAAATTCAATTCGAACATTAGGGCTATTATTGAATTAAGAAAGGGAAAGTTACAAGAACCCTAATTCGAAAAACTACATACCTTTAAACCTCGATATAGAACCCCTTTTGCTGAACACAAATTCGAAAAAACCAAAGCAATTCTGAAGGAGGGCGAGTTGGAGCGAAGGAGAAACTGTATGTAGGAGGAAGAAGCTGCGGAGGAGTTTTGCCCGGAAGCTAAGCCGCGCGAAATTAAATTTGACCGAAAGTGAAAAAAAAAAAAAAAAAATTAAGTTCTGTGTGTTTGTTTGCTCTAATAAAAGTTAAATAAAAATAACAGGAAGTAGTAACTAGCGAGGTAAATATTGGGTGTTGTTCGCATTTTACTAGGTGACGTTCACATTTTTTACATGAATTTTCTAAATTGTCCTCCGTATATAAATACTCGATAAACTAAGTTAGGGCTTTACGAGACATTTCCCATCTCATAAAATCACTCTTTGACACTTTCTCTCTCTAAAACCTTCCAAAAAATCTGAAATTTTCAAAAAAAAAATCAGAATTTTTTTTTTTTTAAAAAAAAAACCAAAATAGTTGAAGGTTACTCAAACACAAGCAAATCTAGCAATCAAACGTAATCCGACAATGGCAGACCGACGGAGAATTAGGTTGACGTTTGGTGGTCGTGGTGGCGGCGTTAGCGGCGGCGAGCCGGTGAGGTTTTTTTTTTAAAAAAAAAAATTGAATTTTGAAAAAAAAAAATCTGGACAAGGGGACTTCCACCCAGAAATTCCGGAAGTCGAGGGGAACATCCAGAAATTTCAGGCGGAAGTGGGGTTTCCGCCTGAAATTTCCGGAAGTACCCCTGGACTTCCGGATTTTCTGGGCGAAAGTGCTGTTTCCAGGTTTTTTTTTTTTTTCTATTTTTCCCATTTTTTTTTTTTTGGTTTTTGTGTTTTTCTGTTTTTCCCCCTATTTTTTTTGTTTTCTGTTTTTCCTTTGTTTTTTAATTTATGTTTTTTTTTTGTCCTCGATTTTGTTGATTTGGTGCATGTTTGAATTTGAAAATATTTGTGTCCTTCATTTGTGGCATTAAAATAATTTTTTTTCTTGATTTAGTTTTGCAATAGTTATTGTTATGTAATTTTGTTGATTTAGTTTAACAATAATTATAGTTTAGCAATAATTCTTGATTTTATTTTAATAAGTTTGTTGTTGCTATGTATTGTTATTGTTATGTAAATTTGGTTTGGTTTGTATTGGTTTTTGCTGCTGTTGTTGTTATGTATTATGGTTGTTTACTTAAATTGTTGTTATTGTTATTGTAATTGTTTTTTTTATTGGGTTGTCGTTGTTGCGTTTTAATTTTGGCAATTTGTGGTTAATTATAGTTTTGATTTGGTCTGTTATTGTGTTGAAATTATTTGTAGTGTGTTAGTGTGTTGTTATTGTTAGTAGTGTATTAGTATTGTAAGAATAATATTATTGTTATTATTAGTAATGTTGTTATTATTGTTTATTTGATTTGATTTATTATAGTTTTGATTTGATTTTTTTAACTATGAATTATTATTGAAATATGATTCTGTACTTATTTATTTAATGCAGATTGAGGGTTCTGGTCCTCGTCATGCAAGATCAAGACGTTTAAATGCGTCTATTAGGAGGGAGTTAGGTGGTGCAGGACCTTCACATGCACCGTTTCAGCATGAGCAGCAGTATGGGACTGCTGGTGCTTGGTCGGGGGAGCACCAGTCACAGGGGAGCGCCCCCATGTATTCGTCTACTGGAGTGCCTTCATCAGACGATGAGGATGAAGATCGAGGAAGTCAATCTGCTGGAGATGCACAGTACGACCCTCAGGATTACCGTACTGTGTATAGGGGTGACCATGGGAGATATGTTAGTAGTAGTGAACCAGGTTAAGCTTTTACCAGCTCGTCAGAGTCATTGGTGGTGCAGGAGCCGATGCCAGGTGGGCCTGAGGATGGTACCGTTATTCCTAGTTTTGGGGGTCACGTGTCTGCCTACATATGGGGTGGGCAGGAGCGAAACGTGCTGCGGTGTTTGAGCAGGACACATTTGTGTTCTGAATTGGTTAACTGGCGCGCTCGTCTTCCGCAGGAGCACCTGGAACCGATTGATGGCAGTGGTCTATCTCATTTACCCGGGATCATGTTCCGGCGATTTGACTGGCCCTTAATTTCTGCTTTGTTGAGAGATGGCAGCCAGACACGAACACGTTTCACATGCCTTTTGGGGAGATCACGATCATGCTGCATGATGTGTATCATATTCTAGGGCTTCGTGTCGACGGTTCCATGGTTTCCACTACTCCTAGCACGGACGTTTTACGGGACACGTGCTCGATTGCCTTGGATATGACTGAGGAAGAGCTGAATGAGAAGTGCGGTACCAAAACCGTATGGCAGATTAGTGGGGTCCTGACTGAGAGGATAGTGGAGTCGACCTTGGAGGTGCAGAGGCCCTTCAGTTTCCATTACAGGGCGTACCTGTGGTTAGTACTCGGCGGTTGTTTGTTTTTGGACAAGAGTGGAAACCGTACTCATCTTTCCTTCCTCAACGAGCTGTTTGTTGAGGATGTTCAGATTAGTGAGTACTCTTGGGGTTCTGCTGTGCTAGCATACATGTACCGGCAGTTGGGTACAGCATCACGAAGAGATGCTGATTCTATCGCTGGCTGCCTTACGCTTCTGCAGGCGTGGATCTACGAGTACTTTCCGTGTTTCCGGCCTCAGCAGCGGACCTTGACTAGAGAGCTTGCTATTCCTCGTGCGTCCGCCTGGGATGTTGGATCGGGGTGCCCTAACAAGAGCATGGAGCGCCTTCTCGCTTTTCGGGCTAGGTTGGATCATTTGACTGACAATGAAGTTAACTGGCTACCGTACGGAGTTGATCCAGCACGACGCGTGCCTGCTACTCTTTTCATTGGCTGCATCCAGTATCGTAGCATCATTGAGCCATACATGCCTGATCGAGTGGTTTGGCAACTTGGATACGTCCAGGGCATTCCACCAGCCATTATCAGGCCTGAGAAGGCTAAGAGACCGACGAACTTGAAGATGTATCGGGTTGACTTTCCGCCAGAGATGACATCTGTGATGTGGACTCGGTTTGTCCCTGGTATGTCTTTTAGTGTCGTGGTAGGTGCCCTCAGCAGACTTGGTGGTGGTGCTCCTACGGTCGGTCCTGGTTACATGCAGTGGCTGTACCGATTTTCTCATCCACGTGTTTCTCCAGTTGCGTCATCACATGAGAGTCGCACACTGCCAGAGAGAACTAACACGGATTACGTAAGTAGTTGTATTTTTTGGTATAATTTAATAAGTTGTTATTTTAATAAGTTGTTTTTAATATGTTGTTTTTTTAATATGTTGTTTTTAATATGTTGTTTTTTTAATATGTTGTTTTTTTAATATGTTGTTTTTAATATGTTGTTTTTTTTAAAAAAAAAACTTGTGATTTATTTAATATGTTGTTTTTTATTGAAGTGGATGGGTCGGTCTATGGAGGTCATCAACAGGACCCTGGAGGAGTATCCGAGCCTATCGCGTGATACAAGAAAGCAATGGCTGAGGCGCTACGAGCTGATTGGAGGGCGATGATGGGGTTGTGAACTTGCTGTTTTTTATTTTTATTTCCCTTGTACGCATTTCGTTTATGTACTATTTATTCGTCATGTACTTTAAGTATTGAACAACTGTTTTGGTGGTTTTGTAGAAATTTTGTTTAATTAAGTTCAATTCGATGCAAATTACATAACGACAACTGTTTAACATAAATGAAAGTACAACAACATGTTCACTATCTAATTAAGGCATCCCACATGTTCCTTCTAGCTTCGTAACGCTGATCCCAACCGTCAACACTTGGGTCGTGTGCTCGGTCCACCAACCTGCAATCGGGGGAAGTGGCGAATCTGGTGCAAGTTCAATACAAATAAAATGTGAGCCTCCAACTGTAGCGATGACAAACTCTCGCTCTGGTGCTGTGACCCCCCTTCTTGCCCGCAACGGCAATATCGTGAGGCATGGGTAGTAGCAAGTTGGTGTTTGGGCTACACCAAGAATAATAACCGCTGCGTTGAACCAAGTCGCAATAGGAAATAAATCTTTTATTGCAACCATCCAATGACGGGAATCAACCGCCCCACTGTCCCATCGAATACACTGCACATTGATCTCAAGTCTTCCAAGCCCATAAATCCTCTCATATAGGGCTCGATAACCGAGGACCTCAATCGCTATGTCTCTCGAGCGTCATACCATCGGCCTTGATCATCGAAGAAGAACTCGGCCACACAACGAAACCCACAGTTCCCATCGCCAATGAACTCCTTCCATCCTGTGATGTAAGGCAACATCGGCCCTGGAAGCGAGTGTCAATAACGACTTTAGCTAATGTCGTTTACATCTCCTGCACAAATGTAGGTTTCAGTTAATAGTTTAGTGAACACTGATTTATGTGAAAAATACAACACTCAATCGTACCTGTTTGTCGTGTGCCGCGTTCAGTGTGTTGGCGTTTTACATGTTCAAAATAAGAACGATCACGTCTTGTATCATTGTTTCTTGGTCGACCACGAACCCGGTGGTTTACAGCAGGCTCTCTGAGATCAGAATGATCCGTATGCAACTCCTCTTCAATGATGCGAGACACGTTTCGAAGAACAGCAGGATCACTACCGATTACCTCCTCCATCAGAGAACGAAAATGTGCGGCATCCTCGGTCGAGTCATTTCCAGGCACCGTCCCAACATCTCCAGAACCAATAACCAAGGTCCTCCAAAACGGGTGAATTTGCCTTATGTACAATCCTGTCCTAGCAGCTAGCGAATCATGTATCTGGCATGCACAGGGCAACCCGTGGGTCACACGCATTGCACATCCACATCGTTCGTGCACTTAATAACTCAGCTCCCTCATCCTCCTTGTCTCCTCATCGAGAACCTTTAAACAATGTTGGGACACCTTCCCGTTTATACGTGACAGTGGCAACTGTCGGTACTTTTGACCTATCTTCGACCTAGAAGCCTCCAAACCATTACGAATTGCGATGATTTGATTACCAATGTGGCTATGAACTCGAGCCCATACGGTATCCAAAGAACCTGCACATTACAAAGAAAAATCGTTATGATTTGTAACTGAAATTCCTAAATAAAAGTACATACATGAAGTACAATAAGCAAACACCAAACCTTTCGAGGAATCAAATCACATCTTCACGGCCGAATGTTGGCTCTCAACTCTGCAAGTGCTGGTGTTGCCATAATGTAGAACTTGGTTTGTCCAAAATGTCACAAACTTCGTTTTATGACAAAGCCATGTGTTCTCTACATATTGTATCACTGCTGGAAAACTTGCCCACTTATCTTTCATGTTTTCTATAGCGGCCTCATAATCTTCCTCGGTTGCAGCGTCCATGATACGTTTCCATTTTCCGTTTTTGAAAGACGCACCGATTTTCTTGCTTTTGAACATAGCAGTGACCCGAGCCTCCACATCTTTGTTAATGTGCCATCGACAAAGTAAGTGCGAGGTTCCTGGAAACACTTCCCTCAATGCAGCACATAGCCCAAGCTCACGGTCTGTCAAGAAAACCGACGGCTCCTTATCATACCCAATCACGTCTCTCAACCTCTGCAAAACCCATCGATAGCTTGCTGTGCTCTCGTTGCGCATGAACACGTAAGCGATAAGAAAATTCTGATTTGTCGGTGTCACACTAACTATCTCAAAGAACGGCATCCCGTATCGGTTAGTCTTGTAAGTGGAATCCATACCGATCACATAGGGGTACGTCCGTAGGATGTCTACCATGACTGGATGCGCCATAAAGGCGTGCTGTAAAACGCCTTCATCATCGGACATGACCCAGTAAACATACTGACTCTGTCTCGCCAAATGTAGAAATTGCTGAACAACTCCTCTCCTATCAGACATCTCCTCTCTGAAGTCATTCCGGCAGTTGTAGATGTGTCTGATGTTTGGATGATCAGCAGGAAATTGCTCCGCAATAGTCGCCATGATGTTACGCGGTGCAACATTAGACTTCATCATGTCACGCACAACCTGCTTCGCATTCGGGCTCAACCCACTAATTTTACGATGACCCTCTAGATACGCAATCATTGGATGGTTGTGGGTTCCAGTTACATCATCTTTCGCCCGGATAAACCAAGTATTGGTGACAAACTCTTAACATATCTTGATGTAGAAAGGACAACCAATGCCCTTGGTTTTGGTGTCCTTCCGAATTGCGTTCTCAAGATCTCTCGGCTTACTCCTGCGTCCCCGGTCACATCTTAAATATCGAACTGGTCGACCATCCCTCTGTTTGTTGAAAGACGATTTCACCAAAATAAATCCCAAATTTATTGCAACAGCATCCGCCCATGTAACTGCATCGTCAAACGTTAGAAAAACCGTGTCTGTCACAAAATGTGCACTGTAATTCACAACGTCACCGTCGTCTTCAACCTCCGAATTCTATCAAAATAACAACACAAACAAATAAAACACGCAAGGATTAGTATTTTAAATTTAACAATAATAATAAAAATAATAATACAAATAATCATAATAATAATAAAAATAACAATAATAACAATAATAATATTAATAGTATTAATAGTAATAATAATAATAACAATAACAATAACAATAACAATAACAATAACAATAACAATAACAATAACAATAACAATAACAATAACAATAACAATAACAATAAACAATAACAATAACAATAATAATAACAATAACAATAATAATACTAATAATAATAACAACAATAACTACGTAACATTAACAAATAATAACTAATATAATAATAATAACAACAATAGTAATAATAATAGTAGTAATAATATTAATAATAATCATAATCATAACAAAAATTTACAAAATTAACAAAACTAATATTAATAACCATAATAATAATAATAATAATAATAATAATAATAAAAAAAAAAAATAACAATTACGTAAAAAAAAAAAAACAAAAAAAAGGACATCCGCCCTTTATTTTTTGAAGTCTGGGTGGGGATCCGCCCAAAATTTCCGGATCTCCCCATTACACCCGGAAATTTCAGGCGGATGTACACATCCGGATGAAATTTCCGGATGTAATGGGGGACATCCGAAAATTTTGGGCGGATCCCCCCAGACTTCCGGAAAAAAAGGGCGGATGTCCTATTTACAAAAAAAAAAATTCCGAAATACTTACAGATTCTTCCGACGAACCCTCCGGCGTGTGAACGTTTTCGTCGTCCATCGTAAAACACCACTCCGTACACTTTCCTTTTCTGCCCCGGGATTTTTAAATTCCATGGGATTACCGTACAATGGTGGAACCGGGAATTTTTAAAGCTCGGGATTTTTTTAACACAAGTGGTGGGCTCGGTAATGTTTTTAATGTTGTCGGTAACTAAAGTTACCCATGGTGGACCCTTAAATAGATAAAATACCCACAAGGGCAAAAATGTTATTTCAATTAAAAATGTGAACGTCACCCTGTAATTTGCGAACGACGAATAGCAGTTCAGTATATATTTGGTCAAAGTCTTTATTTGTAATTGGCATTTATTTAGTCAGTTACTAATAAGACTTCAAACAATGATAAATCACATGTTAGTAACTTACATTTATTATGTCGATTATTAATGTCATAAAATTAGTAACTGGCATTATCTAAGTCGGTTACTATTGATGCTTTAGTAACTAGCATAACATTAAGAGGAGTGTAGCGTAACACGGTAGAAGCGAAAAGATCAAAAACTAAAAATAAAAAATAAAAAAAAAGTGTCGGATCGACCCCGGTCCGGTCTTCATGTCAAGAAATTACATTTCTCATCTTCAGTTCTGTTTAATCCGGTTTGAAGCATCTTAAAATCGATTTTGGACCGGATTGGACTTCATCTAAAGTTAGATTTGACAATCCTGACCCAACTCATGACCCAAATTAACCCAAAAGCATCGACCAAAAAATGACCCAACACCCGATATTGACCTAACCTGACCCATACCCGACTTGAAAATGGAGTTGACCCGATCCTAACCTAACACCCGAACATACCTAACCCGGAGTTGACCTGACCCGAATTATTTGACCCGAACAAACCCAATACCCGAAATTGACCTGAACTACTCGAAATGTCCCGACTAAAATTATCTTATAATTAAACTAAAAATGTCGGTTGTCATAAACAACTCAAATTGTTCATATTCAACCGTAGCCAACCTTATAAACCGAATTGATAATTCTTATTATAACAATAACAAAATATAAAATTATTGATTTGAACTTGATCCAGAAATGAAACAACCTGAACATGACCCAACTTGATTTTGACCCGACTCGAACATACTCAACCTAAAAATGGTCTGACCCGAACATACCTGACCCGAATTGAATTGACTCGACCCGATGTCGTATCTGACCTGAGTCATACCCGAAACCCGAAATGACCTGACCCGACCCGAACGCTAATTGACCCGACCCGAACGACCCATTTGCCAGGTTTATCTAAAGTTATGAATAAAAATCTCTTTAATGTTTTAACTTTCCCTTTAATATGTACGTATATTCCCCCTCTGTCCTAGAATAACCGAGATTTTTTTTTACTATTCACAAATTAGCTTTGACTATACTCCTAGTATTTTATTAACATAATAACAACATATTATATCATTAAATATGTTGTTAGATAGGTATTGATATATACACACACACACACATATATATATATATATATATATATATATATATATATATATATATATGTGTATATGTATATGTATATATATATATATGTATGTTACGTATGTATGTATGTATATATTTTTTTTTATAATCTTCATTAATGTTTACTTATGTTAATATAGGGTCAAATGAGTGCATCGACATCTGTGCTAAGTTTAATTTGTCAATATTCTGGGACAAAGAGAGTACTAGTATATATTTTTTTTTTAAGAAAAGTGATTACATTCAAAATAGACGACATTAAATAATCATTTTTCTTAGAATTTTTTTTAACAAAACATTATATATGAATATTTTAAATTTTAAATTATTGAAAACATCACTAAAACCAGTCCAATTTTATGGACTGATATCGGTCTGGTTTGATCAGTCCATGCAAACTGGTCTAAACTCCATTTATTATATGAATATTAACCTTTAAATTTTCAATATTCAGATAATTTTTGTAGTCTCTAACTTGTAATAGGTAGTTACCCTATTATATTATGGAGTCAAATTAAACATCCCGAGTAGTGGTGGTTTTTCTTTGTCCTACTTAGATGCAAGAAATTTCCCACGTAAAAGTTTCTTGGGCATTTGAGTTTCCTTATGTTTTGTCTGCAAAATTTAGCCTTAGTAACAAAATATTATACCATTCACCTAGGGCTAACGGCTAAGCAAAATTATCTGAAAAAAGAAACATGATTATATGACTACATGATTATATGACTATATGAGTACATTGCAAAAAAAAAAAAAAAACAAAAAAAAAAAAAAAAAAAAAAAACAAAACAATAAAAGGCCCCAATGATGTAGCTTTATATTATTATTAGTAGCTGTTAATCATGTGTTGCATGTGATTACATTCGGACAAGATAATACTTTGTGACTTTCGCATTTCAAACAATATCGTGCATTCAAATGTTATCTAGCTTCATTGATTTTTTTAGTTTATTTTAAGTAACTACATTCATCAACTACGGTTGGCTTTGTTTCGATAATTGCCCCTTATTGAATTATTAAACGTATTGGGAAATAATATGAAAGAATAGAAGTTTTAGTCAACTATATATTATCGTTTTCATTATTTAAGACCATAGAGAAATAAACTAAGTTATTCTTTCCAAAAAAATGAAATAAATTAAATAATGAGATTAAGATTAATAGAAATTGTAATTAATTAAGTAGTGTTAACTTAGAAAAGTATTGAACACCAAATAAAAATAAAAATAAAAATAAAAAAAATAAAAAAAAAAAGAAAGAAAGAAAAGTATTGCAATATAATTAAGTTAATTTCTTTTTGTTAATCTAGTCTCTTTCATTTGCTCATATATAAAGTTTACTAATGCATAAGCTGTATCATTTTATTTTAGTAGTGGTAAAAGTTAAACTTAATGAGCAAAGTATTCAATATATTAAAATATTGCGATACTATCTAAGTTAAAATTAACTTAAATATTGCAATACTTTTTTTAAGCTAAAACTTAATTCATAGATCTAGAATTATATTCTCAATAATATTATTTCATTAATCTCATCTCTTTCATTTGCTCATACATAATTCAATATAATCGATACTTGTAATTTTAATTTAATTTCATTATTATTTGTTATAAGATTTAGATTAATAAAAATTAAGTTTTTCCCTAGTAAAATGTATTGTGTTTTATGTAAGAATTATTATTAATATATAACTACATAAGTTACTTTAAGACTTGTTTTGTTCACTTAATTTTCGCTAATTTCAGGTTTAATGATTAAGTTTAGTTTAAGAAAATAAGTCCTGATAAGCGTTATCCCATTCAAATTACAACTAATAAGGTAATAAGATCTAATAAGTTCAGATAAGTTTAGTTAGATTCTCTCAAGTGAATACAACACCCCCTAAAAATGCATTACAGAGGTGTAGCTAAAATTGCCAATAATGATATAGTTACCTTGTGCTACTAAATTGGACCCTTAATTCAATTTATTTTTTTATTTATTTATTTTTTTTATTTATTTTTTTTAATTTTTTTTAATGATAGACATGATTTTATTAACAACAAAACTTTACTAAATTAACTATTTTATGATAAAAACGAAGATTAGAATTGGAATAGTAGGATTATCACAAATCCCAAAAATTAAACCATTAATTCTTATTTTTCTTCTTTGTAGATGATGATAATAATTAAAATATCAAATTTTTGCTCCTATTTTCAGAGGCCTTGTGCGGTTGCTCATCTTACTCATACTCAGATTCCTCTAAATTGGAAGAACATCATAATAATCTAAGATATGTATACTATGTTTCTAGGGAAGTAACTATCTGCACATTTGACATTTGAATATTCTATATCAAATAATAATCAACAATTTAAAAATAAACTAAAGGAAACTTCAAACCTCGATAAATTAACATACAAGTTGTGCATGATAAATTATTGATGAACATGTTAATTAGCTCTTTTCTAAGGTGGTATATAAATATAAATATGCATGTTATTAGCAATACATACATACAATAAACATCACATGCATATATGCTCTCTCTAAAAATGGGCAATGGAAAACTAAGCAATAATATTTTGCACCTCTTTATTGTTATAACCTTAGCCATATCTTCATGCTTAGTTAGCTTAAGTCAAGCAAACCATCTTCCTGAACAACGAAAGCGTCTTCAACTAAACCAATGCAATATCTTCAAAGGTCATTGGGTACGGGACGCTTCATATCCTATGTATGATTCCTCGCAATGCCCCGACATTCGCAAAGAATTCGACTGCCTGAAGTACGGTCGCACAGATACAAATTATCTCAAGTACCGGTGGCAGCCAGATGATTGCGATATTCCAAGGTTTGTGATTAGCTTAGAATTATACTAGTGTTTTTGTTCATTTTTTGGTGTTTTAGGTGCTATGTTACTTTACGTACAATTTATTTTTTCAATAGGTTTTGGATATAATAGGTGCTATGTAACATAGTAGTTATGGTTCAGTAAGGTCTTTCATCTTAACCTTTAAAAAACATAATAGTTATAGTTAAAAAAAAAAAGTTTCACTTATAAGATTATAAGTTTCAATTAACTATGAAAAGAGCATGTATAAGTTTATATATATACATTTTTCTTTACAATATACATGATAGAGTTATATATAATTGTAATTTTATTTTGTATGATAAATTTAATTTGCAGGTTTGATGGGGTGGATTTTCTAAGGAGGATGAGAGGAAAGAAGATAATGTTTATTGGGGATTCACTAAGTCTTAATTATTATCAGTCCTTAATTTGCCTGCTTCATGCAGCTATTCCAAACTCCAAAATCACACATCCATCAACTGGTGGCATGAAATCATGGTTTTACCAGGTAATATTCACTTATAAACAAAAACAATTGTTTATTATGCATGCAATTAATGATCATTAGATAATTTACACAAATAGATTCAATCATTGGATTTAAAAAGACGGGTTAAATATGGAATACAATGAAGCGAGTGATGGACTGAGTCAGTAAGTGATACTCATGTACGAGTACCAGCCACTTGATCTGTCCTATATATATATATATATCACCCATACGGTATAATTCATCCCATTTATGTTTAGGACTTTAGGTTTTAGCAATCATTCACTAATTGATCTTTCTTTGCAACTTTCATCGATCCTTTTTTTAACTTAAAACTCGTTATAAATGTTATAAATGTATTTTAAGAGGATAGGAAATCTTGCATTAGGTTGTCTCACCTCTTTAAAATACAAGTATATCTTTGGGTAGATGACGATGCGCATAAACCATGCTGACATCACATTGACATCATCATTTGCTTTTATGCTTTCATTATCGAGACAACTATTGATTGACGATCTTATAACCCAAACTCATAATATTAACCTTTGAAAATCATAATTATTAATTGAGAACAAATAAAAAACTTTAATCATACCCTAGTCCTAAAATCAAAATTGGCAGACATTACGACACCTACATCCCCAAATTATCTTAGTTTCATCAACAAACTAAAATTGTTTAATCAACTTATGATTTCACTTATGGTCATGATAAACTAATTAATAATTAAAAATAGTCTTGGATGATTAAATTTCACCCAAACGTAACACATTAGTAAATCAAGTTAATCCGATGATTATCACCTACACATGACAAATGTCAAATTAACTTGTTTATTACTTGATCGAATATATAAGCATCATAAAAAATTATGTAAAATGGTTTACTCTATAAATTAAACAATTTATTCACAATATCAAGTTTCCGATCTCATCAATTTGTATAATGCATGGAAAACACATAAATTATTAATGCCACGTACAATTGGATGCATTTCTATGCGCTGGACCGACGATGAATAATTTACGCATGTAATTTATATTGTTATTACTTTCTTCAAATCCGGATATATAATTTTCTTTGAATAATGTGTGATTGAATAAAATAATTTCTTAGTATAGACTTTTGTCAAACAATTTGCCATTCCTAATTAATATATAATTCCATATATTTAAATGAAGATTGTTTTAATTTTGTTTTTGTTATAATTTCTTTTTGTATACTTGCATGAAAGAATATTATCCTAAAATTTCATATGTAAATTACAAAATAAATGCAAATATGGTTTTTTTTTTTTGGGGTGCAAGAGAGGGGCAAGCCCCAATAAATGCAAATATGGTTATATACTGATGGAAATGAAGTACAAGTAGATCTAATTATATAGTTAAACGTACAATAATATTAAGTCGATCTTTTATATATTATCATCTAAACATGATATCAAAGTTATTCAAATTGTTGTAATATTAAAGACAACAGATAAAATAATAAGATTGCTGTAATTTCAAGACAACAGACAAATTGGAGTTAGTATTGATATTAGTAATATTTTATCACCCTTTAAAAGGGTTACTTGTGATTGTGGTGTGAATCTTCATGAATATAAGAGAAAAAACAACGACTTGATCTTTATAAGAATATTGTGTTATGTTAATTAATATCAAGTTGCTTTGTACTAAAGTTGTCTTGTCCATGATTGAACCGTTAGGTGTATTATGTATTGCAACATATTCTTAAACATGCACATGCAAATGCATTACTTACTTGGCTACAAAGTTCTCTTAATATTATATTTTCAAGGTTATTTAAGCAAGCTTATTGTAATTGATTATATTTGATATGATCACTTGAATGATTGAGATTATGATATAGACGAGCCTAGCACCAATTGTCTCGAGCTCAGACTAAGGCACAGGGTTATCTTAGTCAGTCCATCTTAATATACGAGAAGAGATAGGATATGGTAATTGATTCGATCTAATGAATATAGTATTATCGTTTAAAGTATGGAATACAATTGTTCTGTTGATACTTGAAAATAAACCACTATATGAATGAGTTTTTTTTTTTTGGCATAATTGGATGTTTAGAATAGTTTTTGATAATTGTTTCACTAACGTATGTTACACACAATTTTTTGTTCATATATCATTTGACATGCAAGTATACATGAATTCATCTTACATTGTCGTAATTAATACTAAACTGCTATGCAATGATTAGTATTAAGCATTGTAACTCGATCAAAACGATAATAAATTGTAATTATACCCTAAAGTCACCTTGCCATATTTTTGTTATAATTTTTTTCTACCTCATTAATTTGCAGGATTATAATGTCACTGTGACAATGTATTCTTCTTTATACTTGGTTGACATAGAGAAAGAGCAACAAGGACGCGTTATGAAGCTTAATTCGATTAAGAACGGCAAAATTTGGAAAGAGATGGATGTTTTGGTTTTCAATACCTGGCTTTGGTGGAATATAAGGGGCGCGAAACAATCGTACGTACCATATACTTATATATTTCTAATTAATTATTGAAATATATATCAAAGTATTTATTTTCAAGTTTGAGCTTAACTATATATGATATTATTTATTAGACAACATGTCTATACAAAATCACTAGGTGTATACATTCGATGAGTGGGTCAGTGTAAGTAATTGTGTGTTTCAGTATTAATAGATTTGTTTGATACTCAAATTTTGTAGGTGGGATTATATTCAAGATGGGTCAGTAATACAAAAGGATATGGATCGTACAGTCGCATTTAGAAAAGCATTAATGACATGGGCAAAATGGGTTGATTCCGAAATTGATCCCAAAAAAACAAAAGTTTTCTTCCAAGGAACCAATCCTCTCCACTATGAGTAAGCATATACAAATTTTTTTTTTTTTTTTTTTTTTTTGTAGTGATATGATTACTCCTTCTGTTCAAATATATATTACTCTCTTCGTCCCTACATTTTATAAAATTCGAGTCATTTATAATATGCTAATTATTTCTTTGCAATCTTGGTGAAATCAGCGGGAAGGAATGGAATGCAACAAGAGCGAAGGACTGCTCCAAGGAGATAAGGCCCGTGAAAGGATCCACGTACCCGACTAGAGCCCCGCCCGCATTAGACGTGGTGAAGCAAGTACTAAGCACCATATCGAAACCCGTTTATCTACTTGATATCACACTTCTCTCACAACTAAGAAAGGATGGGCATCCCGGTCCTTATAATGGTTTCCATGGAATGGATTGCAATCATTGGTGTATAGCCGGTCTTCCTGATACTTGGAATCAACTTCTCTATACAACTCTTATCATGTAATGTTGATTAATTGATTATTAGTTAGATGTTTATGTAAATGATCGAATTTTGAATTTGAAAATTTATGTTCATGTAGCTTGTTAAATAAAAATTTATTTATGAAAAGTTTGTGACAAAAAACTAATAGAGATGTACTTCGATCTATATTTTTATTAGCCCATAGCGCATAATATGATTGTACAATTTTTAAGGCATTAAAATTTTCTTTATTAACGTAAAATTTCTTAATTTATATCAACTTGAATAGTCTTTTCTTCAAAAAGAGAAAAAAACAAAAATCAACTTGTATAATATAATGGTTAAATTCGTGCATAAACAATTAGTGCCAAAATTAGAGTAATAGAGTAAAACAAATAATAAATAAAAAGTAAATTTTAATGTTTTCGATTACATAACATGATGAGTTGTTGTATATTCTTTATGTAGGTTTAATTTGTTTTTTTTCTTGAAAATTTGTAATCATATTTTACAGTTTTGGGTTATCGTGTGTATATAAGTCTAAGTAGCATCCTATCATACGGAGTAATAATAAATCAATGTCCATTAGGAGTACATATATACTATGCTAATGTAGGTCATGTGAATGAAAATAAACCAATAATAAAACGGCACACATATTGTAGCTCATGACAAACCTTCTCACCGCCAAACAATTACTTGACCGCTGTTAATCACGAGTTGCATGTGAGAATTCAGACTTCATCGCATGTACTTACAAAAACAAAATCCTTCTTGGGATCTTTTAATCCAACTTTAGTAAGCTTTTTTTGATTATAATTGATCCATTGCCGCAATTTTTTAGGTTAAACTTTTCTGAACCTAGATTCTCATTAATAAATACAAAGTAATGTACTACCTCCGTTTATTTTTATGTGCAACTTTTGCCATTTTAGTCCGTTCACTATTATGTGCAACTTTCCTTTTTCATTCTGTTTTTGGTAAATAAAAACCCTTGAATTTACTATATTACCCCCACTTAAAAAATTTAATCATCTTACTTTTACCCCTCATTATCCAAAACCCTAACTTAATTTAACACACCTAAATTAACCTAACCTAATTACTCCCTCCAATTTACCCCCCAACCGACACAACTCTACATCTTCCCAACCACCTTTTCTAAACTGATCTAGAGAATTCTATAGAACCCTAGATCAGTTTCTTTGTTTTCCTGTTCTTCGTGTTCTAGGGTTCCTGTTCTTCGTCTTCTTCGTTTCGTTCGCCCTTTTCCTGAAGAATTCAGAGTCCCACAATTATGTCTTCCCCCTTTCCCTCCCCTTTCGAGAGGCATCCAGACTTCACAATTCCGTTACATGACCTAGATCCACTTGTTGACGCCTATATTGGCACAGATTCACAGAGTGAGGCTCGGTTCATCAAGTCCCTCATTAACGACATCAACAGGGGCAATGATTTTCCTCGCCGCCTTTACAACTCTGAGGAAGGCCCTAGTTGCTGTTCTTCGACGACTTTCAAAGCTTTGGGGGAAGTCCTGAAAAATATCGACGAGGGGGAGAAGACGAACAAAGAGGAGGGTGAAGGCGAGTCCCATGCCAAAAAAAAAATTGATTTTCAGGTTAAAGATGTAGATCTGGAGTCCGATTTTGAGGTCAGTGTTGCGCCCTCCCCCACCCCCAAGCGCGGATCTAAGGTTTCCAGGCCTCCTCCGAAGCTTTGGCGAAAGAGGAAGGCTGCGGTGGTGGCGATGAGGCGTTTGCGCGGGTTGCCTGATTTGCCGGAGTCCGACCTCGTGGTGCTGTCCTCTGATGAGGAGGCTGAGCACTGAACTTTGCGTAACGATTCCTATTCCTAATTTTTTTAAATTTTTTAAAATTTAAAAGAGTCCTAATTTTTGTGCCGGTGGATCTATGGCTGAAACTAGGGTTTCACTGTTTATTGCGGGATTGTTTGACTGGTTGTGGTTTCATGATGGGGTGTTGGTTGTGTTGATCTACTCTGGCTGCTAAGGGTTTGCTGTTATGGGTAACTTTGACTCGTTGTTGTTTATTGTTGGGTTGTTGATTATGTTAAATGTTAGGGTTTATTTGTATGTTTGTGTTGATGTAGGCTGGATACTAGGGTTTGCTGTGTAATGTTGGGTTGTTGGTTATGTTACATCTGGGAGATTTATTGCTGGTTGCATGTGTGTGTTGATACATCTGGTTGCATGTTGTCTTTATTGCTGGCTGTGTGGACTTGATTGATGAATGATGAGGCTGGTGTCTTGTGCATGTTCATTGTTGCCTAGTCAGTCCCTTAAAAGGAGTCCCATGATGTTGCCTTCTGTTTCTTGTTTATTAAAGAGTCCCCTACTTTGATATGCTATTTAGCTTACCCATATCCACATGATGAAGGGACTCCAATGAATTTCAATATGCACAGGTGATTTGCTCCATCAACATGAAAGTTGTTGTTGTTGTTGAGGTACCCTTGTGCATATGTGTAGTATTCAACATTATAACCCTCTGATGGATTTAGTGCCCACATAAATTGTTTATCTTTGTCATTCATAATCAACTAAAAATGTGGGTACAAAATACTAGTACATAAAACTTTACAAAAGACCATATGTATGATAATCTAATGACTATACTTCAGACTGCCTGACTTGTTTGGGTAATTGTAATCAACAAAATACACCTAACCACTGGATTGCTCAAAATGTTTTTGGGAAAAAAAAAAACCAATAAAACTTACTATGATAAGTGGTTATGTGTGGCAGTCCATGTGTTGTCTGGTTGTTGTAAAGACTCCCCTAATCTGCATCCACCTCCAAATCTTCTGTGTCTTCTTGAGTGCCTTGATTTGCTGGCCTAAACATGGTGTTTAGGTACTCCACAGCCTCCAATACATCCTCTTTCTGAACCTCTACCAAATCTGGAAGACTACCTAGGTTTTCCAGCTTTTTTTTTGTTCATATGTGGTATTTTGTACTTGTTACCACCTTCTGCCTTGAGTATCTTAATCATACACTTTTGCAATGTAACCCAGATGTACTTGTTTACATGAGGGTTGAAAGTGTCATAAGACTGTTTGACCTTTTGAATTAGCTCCTCTAAGTCCCTAGGAAAAGACTGATATTGCAATGATTGTATAGACCTAAATAGCCCTAAGTCAAGGACATTCAAATCAGGAGACTGTGCTGGCTGGAAAACAAATTGAATGTTAAAGCCATTAGCTGTTGTTGCTGCCACAAACTCATCATCTGTAGGAACTTGGTGTGGCCTTGCATTGTCCCATTGGATGACCACATCCTTGGGCAGACCTTCAGGCCACTTTGATATGATTGCTGGAATAACCTTTGTTAGCAGCATCTCTCTGATTACTTCTCTGTTTATGTTCTGGAGTGCCTTGGTTTCCATGGTCCCTCTTGGTCTTTTCTTGCTTGCTTTCTGTGCTACTTGCTGGACAGTGAATGGAAAGATGCCATACTTTCCATCATGTAAAAGTTCCCCATTTATGCCATATAATGGCTTCCCTATGATTTCCATGAACATTGCCTTTAGTTTGAATCTTCTTGACTGAACTGCCATATAGGGATCCTCCTCACATGGCAGTAGGTAGAACCTCCTTTTGTCAGGGTTCAAGTAGAACCACTTTTCATCACAGTGTATGACATTCCTCATGTCAACAAATGTGGGGTCCTCATTCCCTGTAATTGGATTTATATGTGACAAAATCCATCTTAGTCTGGCAACCTTGTGGTCTGATGTGAGCAATGGTTTGTTGCAGCATGTGTGTGTTCTTAGCCTGCCTCTTTTCTTCAAATTGTGAACTGTAGTTAGACTGATCTTCAATGCTCCTGCATAGCTTCTTTCTGTCTGCCTTAAATGTAATGGGACTGACTGGAGAGTTTCATCAGAAATCTCCATTGGCTTTCTCCCTGTTTTGCCAAATTTTTTGGTCCTGACATCAATCAAGTCCCCTGTTGCCAGCTGTTTTTTTATGTCTGAAAAGATTCTTGTGATTGTTGATTTGTGGACATTAAATTCAGATGCTAATTGCTTCATGTGACCCCTTGGTAAAGTCCCATTGCTCATTTTCAGCAAAATTGCATCAACAATCTTTCTTCTTTGCTGCAAAGTTAATTGTTTTCTGCATACAAGACCAGTCCCTTCATGACCTTGCTGTTGCATTTGTGTGTTGAGAACATTAGTTTCTGTCTGTGGCTGCTGTTGCTGTTCTTCTTGGTTGCCATCCTGCATTTCATCTTCTGAGTTGTACTCCCATATTCCTGCATCCTGCATTTCTTCTTCTTCCTCGAACCACAGCTCTGCTAGCTCTTCTTCATTGAGAATGTGTTCAATATCAAAAAAAACAGAGTCATCAATTTCTGCCATTCCTCTTTTCCAGCACAGGGAGGATGAAGTCAGGGCCCTGCTGAGTTGTGTGGGTTGAAGATGAAGACTACACCCACCTGTGCATGAAGGACAACAGAGCACCCCTGTTTTTTGTAAAGTTTTAAGGAGTAGTTAGTGTGTAATTATTCTAACCTAGGATTTGATAAGCTTTTGTGGATGAAACTGTGTTTTTGGTGGAATGTTTCACCCACCTTTAAACAATGTTGATTGTAATTAATGCCTGACAATGGAGGATGATTTATTCCCTCCTTAAATGCTTGAATGAATGGTGACATTAAATGGGGGCATGGCTGTATTTATAGCCTCCTAAATTTTTTGGGAAAATTTGACTTTGGTATGAAATTTTTAAAAAAGGAGGGGGAAAGTAAAATTTCACCCCAAATTTTCGGTGGGTTTTGGGTGGGAAATTATGCTTTGGTTTTTTCTGCCAAACTTTCCCACCACAAACAAAAAGTGTGGTCCACACTTTCTCTCTCCTTGCTTTTTAATTAAACCCACTAACTTCTCCTAATATTTACTCTTCAATCTTTTGCCTCGTGAACCGTATTATCACTCAAAGTTGCACATAAAAATAAACGGAGGTAGTAGTATTATTACGTGAAGTTGTATCTAGGATTTGACTCAATGTATATATATAGAAGTTTTTTTTTTTTTTTTTTTTTTTTTTTTTTTTTGTAGAAATGACAAGTGGTATATTAATTTTTCTTAAATAATATATATGCTTGTGATAATAGAGATATCTATAGTTAAAATGGCATTTGGAGATCATCAAAAGTCAATTGGAGCAACCTTTAAATTAAAGGATAGAGAAATACTTGTATTTCCTAGCTTAAGTCAAAAGTGTTTCACGTACGAGGGAGTTTAAGGGAGTATTGTTATGCATAAACAGTTGCATAACGAGGGGTAAGGGCGTAATTACACGTAATGTATATTATGACTTTAGAATAGTACCATTGAGTGATTAATATAATAGTACCATTGGGTGATCAAATAGTACCATTGAATATTCAGTGGCAGTATATATGTTTGTAGTGGTAATATATAAGCATACTAAATAACCAATGATATTATATAAGCTTTTAGTGGTACAATTAAAAGTGGTCTCATCACTCACCTTACTTTTTCCTCCTTTCTCTATTTTCCATGTGATTTTTAATATTTTAGTATTTGTTATGCATTTGCAAATGCATAACAATACTACATTAATACTTCCTCTTCACGTACAATAGATGGAGATATTTATTGTCTCCACTCTACACTCTATTAGCCATGGTTTCCAATTAAGCAAGAATTGTCTCACTTTGTGGCTCTTACCTTAACCATTGAGGCACGAATTAGCTATAAAGGGAGTTAGCTTGAAATCCTATGTGATATAGCAAGCTAATTTGTCAATTGGCTTACCTTGGAATTGCTTTGTGCTTAACTCTCTCAATTCTAGAAACTTTCTACCTACTAATGATCTACCTCAAAAATATTTTTTTATAGTTAAAAAATTGAAGGAAGAATATAATTATATGGGTTTATTCTCTTCAACCTATTTCAAAAAATTATTATTGCACTTAGTTTTTTTTTAGAATCACATATTCAACCAAAAACATTAGTATCAGATCAGATTATGACTTTTAGCTTTTGTTTACTATTGCTAAATAATTGTAATTGCATATGAATAAAACTTATGAAAAATACATATTTGAAATTACACAATGATACAAATTTGACTCAATCAAAGTTTTGTCAAACTAGCATATATATCAAATTATACCACACCAGACCAGAACTATTATACTAGATCAAATCAAACTTTATTAAAACAATTTATGAAAAAAAATAAATTAATCAAAATTGTTTTAGGATGTGAAATTTTTTTCATTAACATTTGATTTAGGATGAAATGAGAAAAGAAAGAGATATTAACATATTAAAAATGTATATGTTAAGGCTTGGCATACATTAGTTGATAATCTAAAGTCATTTTAATTGCTTCAAACAAATCTATACTAATATATTAAAAGACGTTTCTAAGAACGTTTATGTGTCACGTAGACCCTTTATTACGCCATGTCACGTATTAAATTCCTCAATACGCCACATCACCCACTCAATTCTTCAATATGTCATGTCACTCACCCAACCAACAATACTCCATGTTGTTTCAACTAAAATAAAAAAAAAGGACAAAGAGGTTCAAACACTCAACCTCTTAGAAGAAAGATCATTGTTTTATCATCTATGCTAACTAATTGTTACTTATGCTCTAATCTTACACACAAATAAATTAATATTATACTACAAAAGAATTAAAAATGCATACAAACTATTAAATGCCTTTTAAAAAATTAGCAGCTGTGGCATGTACAATTACAAAAGTTGCAACCTGGGGCAACGTCCACACTATTCACTAGTTATACTAATTAAATAATAGAATTGTCTTTATTGTTTCTAAATTGAACTTCTTGATCAAAATCAACTTTTACTTTTTTTTTGAAACAAGTAAAAGTTTTACTTATAATTTTTACTTATAGATACCAGTACTATTAAATTTTTCTTATTTAATTTAAATTGCTTTTTTATTTAATATTTTGTTGATCGAATAGTAAGTAATATATTCTATAAGAAACTGGAACTAATTACTCCATATCTTGCTTAAGAAATCTTGTTTAACATAGTCCTTAGGTTATGTCTCAAGAGCTTCTTAATTACTTAGCACTAGTAGTTTCATTATGGAAATAAAGTTAATAATTAAACGTATGACATTTAACATTATTTCTTTAATAATAATGAACAATTGGTAACTACAAAAAAAAAAAAAAAAAAAAAAAAAAAAAATCACTAGTCATATTTAAGATGCAAATTAAACATTGCTTTGATTTATATTTATTAATTTTTTTAACACCATGGTTAGATCTCTTCTCTCAAAACTAAATTTGACTCCGCTTTGATAGTTTCTTCATGAATGCCCCTACTAAAATAAATCAATGTTCTTGAAAAAGTTATGGAATGAACTTGAAACATCCTTCAATTTAATACTAAAAAATTAGTGTACAAAATAAACACACTTTAAAATGTTTGCTCTTTAGGTAGGTATTATATAGATACAAGCATCATACAATCATACTCATTTGTGCCACCACCATCACATGTATGCTAAATCTCCACTTTTTTTTTTTTTTTTGCCTCTCACTTACTTTTTACTAGATTACTATCTACTCCCTTTTTTTTTCTTCTTAAAAATGGGAACTAAAAAACAGAGCAATACTCTGCCTTTTGTGATTGTTACATTGTTAGCCATATCTTCATTCATTAGCTTAAATGCAACAACCAATGTCGTGTTACAAACATCGATCCATCGACGTCAAGATCATGTAGTTAACAAGCTCTTAAAGCAGAAAAAAGTAGAGCTAAAAAACTGCAATATTTTCCAAGGTCAATGGGTTTGGGATCCTTCTTATCCTATGTATGATTCGTTACAATGTCCGTGCATTCGAAAGGAGTTCGATTGCCGGAAATATGGCCGCCCCGATAAGTTTTATCTCAAGTTCCGGTGGCAGCCAGAAGAGTGTGATCTTCCCAGGTTTGTCAACTTGTTCCAATATTTCTTAGATATTGATTGTTTGAACATTGTTTTTTCTGTGTATTTAGGTTGTATTTATGCTTTCATAATTTCCATTATTGTTTTACCATTAATGACCACTTATAAAAATGATATCGAGCGATGATGAAAATAAGAAATGAATTATATGCGTATAAAATGGAGTTTTATTTAACTGGCATGAAACATATCTTATAAAATTATATTCAATATACGAAAATTATTTAATACCAAAAGGATCATAATGAGGTAACAATGGATCATAATGCCTATTGCACTAGAAAATATAAATAATTCATTCTAATGATGATAGTAGTTTGATGTGTGGTAGATCTGTTGGCTTTTGTTTTTGGATAATATATTGGAGTGACAGTTTAAAAGAATGGGAACAAAGTTTATAAAATATACACCCCACATACATGCGTATTGTCCCTAATGTAAGTATAATATTCCCTTTGTTACTTTTTGTTTGTCTCTCTCATAATTCATTGGTGTCTTCGTAATTCATTACCCTAGTTAGTAAATTTTTCCATTCACAATCCCACTTGCTCTTGCTATATATCATCGATCATAGTTCTAATCTTATATAGAATATAAAGAGTTTTCAATGTGAGTCGTGTGACTAACAAAAAACAAATGCCAAATTAAAGTATTTACGAATTATTCTCTGTGTTTCTCTAATATGTATACTACGTATTTATCATAATTGACACATTCCGATTGAAAGAGAGATAAACTAACAAAAAAAAAACCCTCAAATGAGATTATGTTAAATTTGTCTACGTGAACTTTCAAAAGATTAAGTTTCATAGATTTTAAGCATGCGTAACTAAAGATATTGTTGCTAAAAAAATATACATTATTAATTGCGAAAAATAAAATCAAATGGAACAAAAATTAAGGGTTTAATTTACATCAATATATAAGTTGAACTTTCTTTTTTTTATACGTGAATTGAATGATGGTTGATTAATGATGCAGGTTTGATGGAGTGGATTTCCTAAAGAGAATGAGTGGAAAGAAGATAATGTATGTTGGGGATTCACTTAGTCTTAACAATTGGCAATCATTAGTTTGCCTACTTCACGCTGCTGTTCCTAACTCCAATATCAAACAACAACAAACTGTTGGTGGAATCAAATCTTGGATTTTCGAGGTAAACTTTTAACATGTACTATTTTTTTGACAAATCAAACTAAAACTAATACTAATACATTTAGTGTCATTTAGGTATTAACTAGGAAGAGGCAAAGCGAGGATGTTGTCACATAATCACATTTTATGGTAGTGAACTTTCTCAAATTGATTTTACGAAAAAAATTGATGACAAATAATTAGGGTTATTTACTTATACAAGTATAGCAATTAGGATATTGTGTGATTGTAACATGCCTCTACTATGTCAACATATTTTTTTTACAAAGAAAAATAGAAATTAGACGGACATAATTGTAAAGATAGCTATAGTAATGTGACATTTTCTTTGTTATGTCATGTATTATGAATAATTTAAGGCATTCCCAACTAACTTTTAATTACCCCTAAGGAAAAAAAAAAAAAAGAAAAGAAAAGAAGATTAGAGAAGATTATACATTTATAGTCAGAGTCATTTAGTTCCCCCTTTAATATGAATAATGAAGAGTATTGCATGTGAATATTATCAATTTATCATCGCCTAGTGGCAAAAACAAGTTATCACGGGGTATAAAAATAAGAAAGTGACAAATAGATCAATGTCAATTGCTTTGGACTTTGGTTGTTTTGTGACTTTTGTCCAATACTGAAAGCCTTTAGGTGTCAACTGTGTTGAGCCTAATACGCAACTAATTTATGAAACACATTTACACATGCAGTATTATTTGCCTCTCAGACATGTGAACAGTTTTGAACTCTAAAAGATAACTTAACTTGATTTGAATTGGCTAGAATCAATTCGGACCTAATCTGAACGACCTAGTTGCTCTTCTCAACTTTTTCAACAATTATAAAAGCCACTTTATCATTACTAACAATTTCTCTCTTATGTTGTAGGATCATAATGTGTCAGTACTGCTATATCCTTCTTCGTACCTAGTCGACATTGACAACGAGCAAAAAGGTCGAGTTTTGAAGCTCAACTCAATTAAAGGTGGTGACATGTGGAAGGATATGGACGTTTTGATTTTCAACACTTGGCTTTGGTGGAGTCGGACGGGGCCTAAGCAACCGTAAGTTTGTACTTACAATAAATCTACATGAACTAGTACAGTTTTTTTTGTTTATGGCCTTATTTGGCAAATGACTGTTGGCTGGTTTACTTGGCTTGTTTGACCAGCTGAAATGTTTGGCTGTTTATAATGGTTTTTGAAATTGGCTGTTTATAAAAGTGTTTGGTAAATTAGTTGTTGGTTGTTGGCTGTTTATTAGATAATTTGTGGGCCAATAAGCCAAAAGCTAACAAAAAAGCCACCAAAATGTCATTTATCAAACATGACCTATAATTAGTTGTCATATCAACAGAATGTGTAGTTTAAACTAGCGATATAAGTCACATGACTATTAATCCAAAACGGAGATAATACATATTGTTCATAACTTTATCGTGAAACTTGTATATTGTTCGGAATTTTATCATTTATAAATTAACTAATGGAATTTTGTGGTGCATAAAATTTTGTAGATGGGACTATATTCAGGATGGGATGGTGACATCAAAGGATATGAACCGCATGGATGCATATAGAAAAGCATTAATGACTTGGGCAAAATGGGTTGATTCCGAAATTGATCCTATGAAGACTAGAGTTTTCTTCCAAGGAACCAATCCTTCACATTACAAGTAAGTTTGGCCTTCGGTCTTATATGCATGCATCATCTACCTAAAATAACTAGCTGTCATTTTATTCTATGCTTTATAAGTAAAAGAAGAGGGAGTCCAGGTTAATCTCTAAGATTAACAATTCAGTTTATCTCCTTTCACAACTTTATGAATTGATTTATGTGTCACTTCATTATTTCACTTTTATTATTTAAAAAATAAAAGAAAAAATTTATATTATGAGACGAGATATATTTACAGATTTATCTCAAAAATGAACTTGAATTTTCCCGTAAAAAAATATGAGTGAGTCACGTTATTCAGTCATATGCATCATATATATAAGAATATGACACGATTTTAGTAAAAACAACCTTTCATATAGTTGGAGTGTTGCCACACTCTAATAGCTATTCATTTGTAGGGGGAAATGTAAAACTCATCAACTCAAGTAGATTGTCGATCTCATGTTAGACCCTATTTTAATAATCTTATGTTCATTTATATCTGAAAAATAAATTAAATCCAACTTATATATGTTAACTCTTGTGAAGTTTTTTTTTGAGGGATTGTTAACTTGTGAAGTTAAGATAAGTCTAATGAGAAGGAAAAAAAAAAGATAAACATGCTTAATTTACAACTTAAATAAGTCTAATTTTAGATTAGTTTAGCTAAAAAAAATTACTAGGTAACAATTTTAGAGAGTAGGGAAAATCCAAGTTTAAGATAGAGTTACTCCTCGTACTAATTAAGGATGGAACCTTGTTGGACTTGCAAATACTTTAACAATTCTTCTTATTGATGAGTACGGCCCAAACTCAATCATCGTAGTAACAAGTGATGATATTATGAAATCGAGTCACTTTCTATGATCTTGATGAATTGATTATGCAATTCTCTTGAAATCAGTGGACAAGAGTGGAATGCAACAGGGGTGATGGATTGTTCAAAGGAGACAATGCCTATGAAAGGATCAACTTACCCAGGTGTATTACCACCAGCATTAGAGGTGGCTAAACAAGTTATAAGTACGATATCGAAATTCGTTTATCTACTTGATATCACAACCCTCTCACAACTAAGGAAAGACGGGCACCCGAGTTCTTATAATGGTTTTAAGGGTATGGATTGTACTCATTGGTGTGTAGCTGGTCTTCCTGATACTTGGAATCAACTTTTGTACACAGTTCTTATCATGTAAATTTTAGCAATAAAAAAATTTATGGGAGTATGTCATTGCACTTCCCATATACTTGTAGTTAATGTAAGTACTTATTATATTTTGTAAAACCCATACAATGATACAATTAATTATTGGATTCTTAGTAGACAATCATGAGAATTTAACATAGTCCGATTTAGAACACTAAATGTTAGAGTATAGGAAAATTTGTCATAAATGTCCTATTATGTAGGTCTTTTTAGTGGTCCCATTAAAAAAAAATGGCACAAAAGCTTCTTTTATCGGATTTGCGCTGTGACGAGGGTTTTTTGACCGGATTTCGGCTATTGACATTTTTCAGGCCAAAAAAACCCATGTGCATTGCACGTGACCACTTAAAATTCGTTTTTGTTAATAATTTTTATAAGGATATTTTGGATTTTAACACCCGACAAAAACCCGAAAATGGTTTTTAATACCCAAAAAAAAAAAACTTTTATTTTAACACCTGACAAAAAATATAAAAATGGTTTTTACCATCATTTAACTGATTCCGTTTAGGAATCCGTTAAATGGGTTCATGAGCCACGTGTCGCTTTATTATTGGCCAAAAAATAAAAAAAATATAAATAAAATAAAATAAAATAAAAAATAAAAAAAAAAAACCTAAAATTACCCAGCCACCCTAGCCCCACCGCCGCCCCACCACTGCCACCTTCTTCTTCAGCTTGACCCACAGCCAGCGACGCAACGACCGGCGCACCACCTCCCCCTCCCTCACCGGCCAACCTAAACCCATCCCCACCCTTTACCCGCAGCCCTAAACCACCCTAGCCCGACCACCGCCATCACCAGCCACGAATTTTTGGCTGTTGATTCGGCCACGAATTCGGCCATTAATGGCCGAAATCGGCCGGTTAAGGCCACTCAGCCCCAAAATCGGCCGATTTCAGCCATTAATGGCCAAATTCGCCGGCGTTTTTGGGGAAGGAAGGTTGCTCAGCCGCAAAACCACCACCCCTGAAATTCGTCGCCGTTTTCTGGGCACGATTTTTGGTGGGTGTTCTTGAATTTTGGCTGCGGGAAGCGAGGGTACGTCGATTTCCGGTGTTAAGGAAGGTTCGGTGTCGAAACCCGGTGACGGGGGGCTGGGAGAAGGTGGTTGGAGAGTTGGCCGAGGAGAAGGGCCACCGTTGGTGGCTACCTTCTGGTTGTTTGAGGTTTTTTAAAAAAAAAAATCTATTTTTTTTTATTTTTTGAAAACAAGTAAAATGGTGACACGTGTCACTGTAGACCCCACTTAACGAAATTTTTGGACGGAAACCGTTAAGTGGTGGTAAAAACCATTTTCGTAACATTTGTCTGGTGTTAAAATAAAACTTTTTTTTTGGAGGTGTTAAAACCCATTTTCGGGTTTCAGGTGTTAAAATCCAAAATATCCTTTTTATAATCAACAAATTTGTCCAGTCGTTATGATATTTTCGTAATTTCATCAACACTTGTGGATCCCATTCTTAATAAAAAATTATTGATTTATTTACAGTTTTATCACTTGATAAACATAATTTGTAGGGTAAGATAAAGAATAATTAGAGAACCCTCATCACAAGGATAATTTCTAACATATCATAATAGAGAATAGTAAACAGACTAAAATTATTACAAACGCCAATATACATACAAATGTCAGTGTAAAATTAGTAAGTGTAATATTCTTGCAAACAAATTTCGTGTTGTCAACAGACTAATCTTCGAAGCAAAGACAATATACATTCATCACGACCAAGGACATATTGACAAATAACAAGGAGCACTCTCCATACGTTGTTTGTTAAGATAGAATATATATATCTTATTAGGAAATAATATTGTTTCGGGTTTGGATTCAAGGGTTCTGACTGGGGCAGGCTGAGTCCAGCTGGAAACTTGCGCAAGGTAACACACGTGACTGCCCTCGGGGGTGGCTCAAGGAACCCCCCTCCATGCTTAAGTTAGAATGTGTTTAGAGAGAAAGCGTACTTATAGAGATAGAGAGAGTGTAATAACTTGTGTGTCTAATCCTTTTTTTTGTTGTACTTTATCCCTTATTTATAGGTGTACAATCTCCTTTGTGGAGAGTCTTACTTGGTCAACCTGCGGGCTGACTCTATCGGACTGGTGTGCCCCTCTGAGTGTCCTTTCAGCGGTGAGTGCACACCCTGTGAGTCAGACCAGGAGCCTGGTGATAGCTCAGCGAGAGCTATCCCATACAACTAGCCCCTCAAGAGATGGTATGAGGTCACTTATGTCGGCTCTTATCTGCACAACGCGACCTCTCTTGATGAACTCAGCTGGGAGGGAATTGAAATAGCTCAGCAGGAGCTATACCCTACAAATATATTTTAAGTATATAAAAAATACCTTTGCATATCTTGAGATCTTGGGATATTATCTTTGTTAGGTAAATTATTCCCCAAGGAATGTACTTTGTATAAATATTGATTTATTGATAAATGAGAAGGATGAGACTTTGTGAATTAATTTGACTCTGCTTCATATGTGTACTTCAAGAAATGAAAAGCAATGTAAGGAATTAAGGAAGTCTTTCTTATGTACTCGACTACTCGGAACAAAAGAAAAAAAAAAACATTTGATTGGCTTTCTAACATGCATAAGGTATGTGAGCTATTTGATTGAGTAACGAAACAACTTATTGCTTAGGAATTTAAATACCATAAAACTAAACCTCAAGGGCAGTTCTATTTCTTATGTGAATCAAATGACCATGTATAATGTTGAGTGTTGTTCATACTTATGAATACTTGAACCCATAATCAATCAATAGAATAGCAATGGAATGGACAACTAATTATTCTATATGCAAATTAATTTTTTTAAATCATCAAACCAACCTATAATACGTGGTACCTAAAAGAGAAAAAAGTATAGATAATGTGTACATAATATTAAATATTTCCCATTTTACCTTTATAGTCTAGTACCAATCATAATTTTATCTCTTATTGAACCTGACTATATATTCAAAAATAGTTCAGGCATCACATTGGCTAATGAGAAAGTATTGTATGAGTCCGGACTCACGATGAGACGGATATAAGTTACTGAACATTTCATAAATTTTTTGAATATTGGTGTTCTAAAAGTTCGCTTTTAAAATCCTGGATTGAAGACATTTAAAATGGCATTATAATTTAGATAGAAGACATTTCATATAAGTTAAGTTATTAGACTATTTGCTTTTAAATTTTAATGTTGGATGAGTGGACTTATGGTGGTTCACCTTAGCTAATACTTTGCGTTGGTGAATAATTCTATTTTGTTCCAACAATTATTAATAATTATCATTGATAAGCACTTAAATTCGACAAGCTCTGTCTCCTCTCCACTAGCCCACTTTTACAACATGGTTGATGAAGAGTAAAGTTATTGGAACAAACCCATAATTGGACTCAACTACACTGGTACACAGTACAACATCATTATGGTTCATTCCATTTTAAATTGGTACTTGTCTTCCGTTCGTTAAAGCAAAATTCATAGCGAGTAGCTTATAATTGATCAACCTAAATCATCTTCTATTTATACTCTTGGAGTTACATATGATATGATCATGACCAACATTGGCAAAAACACATTATAAAAAAATGGCATCATATTTGCCAAAAACTAACACTTTCTTGTTCTTTGTTATATTTTATCTCACCAAATCTACTAATGGTAAGGTCTTCTCAGATCAACACCCACTATCCATATCCCGAACGCCCAACCTCAATCCAGATAGTAGGCGCAAACCGTCGTTATAATTGTATTCATGCAGGGGCCGAGGTGGCTGCCCTGTGTATAACTAAATCTGGGGAGGTTGTGAAGTATCAGGCGTTCACTGATTCCAAAGGAGTATATACGGTTGCAGAAACAATGTCTGAAAGTGAACGCTGGGATGCATGCCTAGCACGGCCAATCAGCAGTTTTCATGAGCGGTGTAATCATCTTGGGGATGGCAGCTCTGGAGTCAAGTTCACTTATAAGCGCCCTTCTGGTTATTCCTACACTCTTTAGCCGTTTGTTTACCAGTTTGCTAATACCCCAATGTACTGCTAGTGCTAAGTTAACATGCTACATAATGGTGTGTAATACTCTGTATGCAATGCACACAGTGAAGATAAATAGACGAGTTGCTGCTTAACTTATTATTCCGTTTTCTCTGTGTGAATATATATATAGACAGCCTGTGTGAGTATATATAATGAATCGTTGCTACAGTTGAGGCTAAAGGAGGTCGAAGTAATCACAAATTTTCTAAAAAGGTGGGTGTACGTTCATTTATTGTAAAATGAGTTAAATTTACCCTTTATACTGCAAAAGTTATTGTTTGGGTCCAATTTAGTCCAATTGGGCCTAGTCATTAAATGATCTAATTAAAAGCCCAAGGGCAAGGTTCATCTTTCCAATTGTGCTAAAGTCAAAGATCAGTCCTCAAGGCAAGCCAATTGGGCTAAGGCCCAACTTATCCATATATGCAAAGGTATAAAAGCCATCAATATTACATTTGTACATTCATTCAACAAAGCCTCAAGCAATTAATTCTCTTGCATAGTGTTCTCTTTCTACACACTGTACTGACTTAAGCATCGGAGGGGCCTTCCTCGACAACACCCCCGGGGCTAGTTTACGTGTGTTTACTGTGCAGGAAACCTTCGGCCCAACATCACTTGGACCGAATCCAGTCTTCTCCACTTCCTCGGACCTTCGACAAGGTCTCATTGTTTTCATCCGAAACAATTTGGCGCCGTCTGTGGGGAAGACTTTCAAAAATCTTTAAGCCAAATTTCTAACCAAGATCATCTTGCAATTATCTTAGTAGCAATGGCTAAGAACCGCAAGAGCAAAGGCCTCCGTCAAGGAGCAGGCGAAAAGCCTAAAACCCCTACACCATCACCCTCACCGGACCGGAACTCTCCCAAGGGTGCCAGCTCGGAGCGAGGATCATACAGGGAGGATTCCCTTTCTCCCGTAATTCATAACTCTCATCATAGGCCGAGTCACTCTCGGTCTAGCAGGGGTCAATCCGATCATAGGACGCATTCAGTGCCCCAAAGCCAACCATCGACCGTCCGCTCTCATTCCCATACTCAGCCGAGGACCCCTTTGACGGGGCCCAGCTCGGAGGAGGTGGCAAGAGCGTTGGCAGTGCTCA